TTTGTATTCAACATTCCATCAATCATTGCTTTCTTTTCTTTTTTTTTTAATCTTGACGCACCTCATTATCGTCATCATTAGAAAATGTTATTTACTTGTTTTTTTCTTATATGTATCAGTTTTTTTTTTCGTGCAACCTCTTCTTGGAACACTATCATACTTTCTTCAATAGATAGATTGTTGTTGTCATTATTTTTCTTTGTGCTCTATGTTCAGTGAGAAAATAAAGTTTATTAAATGTTACAAGATAAGGTATTTAGAGGCTAGTTTTGTCTAATATTACAACGCATCATGTTTAAATTCATAATTTGGTACTTATATTTATATTCATGATCATATTCATTAAACATTTTCTATTTTTTTTATCTAGTTTTTTTTCCCACAAAATCTTGAAGCGCCTCATCATCGTTAAACATTAAAAAAATTTATTTACCTGTTTTTTCTTATATGTATTAATTATTTTTCTTGTAATCTCTTTCCAGAATACCCATAATATGTTTTGGATATGTTATTATTGTTACTATTTTTCTTCGTGCTCTATGGTCAGTGAAAAAATAGAATCCGAATTGGATCTTACAAGCATAGGTATTTGAAGTTTTTTATTTATCTTCTCCATTTGAATAAAAAAATGCTGGTAAATAGTTAAGTTTATTATTATTAAGTATTCTTATTTCATAAATAGCACTTGAATTACACAAATTTGTATGGGTACAATTACCATTAAATATAATTTTAAATATTCTATTGACTTAATATACTTATCCATTAGAATTTTAATTGTGATAATTTTTGCATTAATAGTATCATACTATTTTCGATTGTAAAAATAATTGAAAATAATTTTACGCTAAATTAATTGATCTAGCATTTTCGTTTTCCAAAGTCAACTAAGTTGAGTATATTAATTATTTTTAAAATACAAATTTTTTTCATAAATCAAGTAAATGAATTATAAAACAATCATAAATATAAATTATTGCAGCGTATAATGATAAATTAAACATACATAAGATATTGTGCATGTTCATAGTTCTCAATACATACATATGTGATAATCCAGCCAGACTCACGAGTTTTGTATTTGACCGAAGCAGTTTACTCTTTCTATACGGGTTTGTTCAATTGCTCCATCGAATTCAAAACAATGTGGAGTTGAAATAGAAAAGAGTCAGATAAACTGATTCCTAAATTAGAGGTGAATAAGACTTTTCATTCACATGCTATGCGGGAAAATTTATTAAAAGTTTGCAAGAATAAAGATTTCATTGATCCAGTTCGCTGGCCCATTTTTCATTTTTTGTTAAACTTGGGTCGTTTAAATTCGGAATGAATGAAATAAACATTATACAATATTTTCATAGAGATAAATGTTAAACCCTAAATCCTAAATCCTAAATATATACGCCAAATGAATTAAACTTTTAAGACAACTCTGATCAAATATGCACACAAATAATCTATTGAACCCTAACCGTAACAACAGGCAGATCCAAATAAAAAAAGGAACTAAATCATTCATACATAGTTGAATAATATCATAAAAGTACTAAAATGCTATATCTCGAGGGGTCCAATCTGGAATTATGTCTTCCGAATTTTCCAAAAAATCCTCAATAATTGAAAAAACCATATATCGAATTCTCATCCAATTTACCGATAATTTTGTAAATAAAAAATGACCTGATGAGCAAAAAAATAAGTTGGGGGCCCTATTTAAATCTCAAGAACTTTCCTTCAAATTTGTAATTTGCGTCCAGCCTCAGGCGTTAATATATTTGTTGTTATACCCAAATACTTATGTAATCAACCCAAAAAAAGAATATATAATACATAGAAGCAAACACAAAATGGTAAAATAAAAAATCATTAATAAATAGATTTCATGTAATAATCATCGAATTCCTTCCGGTCACCATGCATATATATCGGCATTCATGGCCAGTTTATTGAAAGCCGAGCCCAAAATGTGAGGAACTACCTCTTAAAAACCCGATGTTCTATGTTGCCACCGGTGGTCCCTGTCCGATTCCGCACATCTTTTATGCCCGGTGATGGTGCCAATGTGGATCATATAACCTTAATTTGTGTCCAACATAAAATGAATTAGAGAAATATATGTTACTTTAAAGGCACATGTTAAAAACTGCAGAGCTGAGCCTATACAAATTCCAAAGTCAATAAAGTTGCTATTAATAAAATATTCAATAAATATTAGGAATTAGCTCAACAGTCATTAGGACTTAAATAGTTTTTTAGATTTTTAGTTAGTAATAATGAAATTTCCATAACAATAATTGAGTATTCCTGAATTATGGAAAACTTATTCCATAAAATCTTAACATTTTTTATTATAAATAAATTAAGCAAATTATTTATATATTTATATTAGATGTTCTTATAATCTTACATATTAGTCAAAATTCAGACAATGATCTCTAACTGAATAATTGAATTAAAATATTTTTGAATTATATTTTAATATTTAGTAATCTAATAAAAACTAATTTTAAAATTTCATGTTTGTTTCATTGTATTTTTCATTAATGCTATAGTACGTGCATTCGGATTATTTGTTACAAAAATTGATCCCAACTATATTTGCTAATAGTTAATAATTTACTTATTTAATGTCATAAGTTACTATTAACTTCTAATAATTAACAAGTGTCTATTACCTAATTGTCCTTCAAAATTTGACCTATCCAAGGGACATTTTTGTCTCTTCAAAAAATGGAAGAAACCACCATAGGATTCCTCCTTTTATATATAGTATAGATAGATATAGATAAAACACATCTTTAGTCCTTGTTCTAAACAAAAATATTTTTAGTCCCTCAATGGTTTTGCCTTAATTTGATTGAAATGTCGCACGTGCCCAACACGTGCATGATTCCGTTAAATACAAAATTCTACCACTGAAATATTAACCAGATCAGTTAATTAAAAATAAATAAAAAAATCTTAACTAGTTCTTCAAAATGGTCACCAAAATATTGTGAAGTTCAAAATAGCACAAAATAATTTGCTTCAAAAGTTCAATGTTCAGAAAGCTTGTCTTGATTTCATAGGGAGATTAACTTTCCTGCAGTTAAGGCAAACAAAAAAAAAAAAAATTAGTATCCTCTGTTTGTGAAAGAATGAAGTGTTCCGAATCTCGACTCTTAAAATAAATTGAGCATTTAATTCACAAAAAAAAGGGTCATAAATTTAGTACTTTATTATGTTAATAATTCATATGACCAAAGTATAGAAGGTAACTTACTCTTTGAAGTTTTACGTTCTCGGCATAATTTGCTACCACAACGGCACTCGGAATCGTTATCATTGAAGTCAAACCCGTAGTCCTGCAATGCATTTATCAAATATTTACAACAGCTTCTCCAAAACATACATTATTTGATAAAAACATCTTATAATTATTAGGGAAAACTACAGTCTGCACATTGAATTATAAGGTTTGTCTCAAAAATCTCCTTGAAGTACATAATGTACCAAAATGCTCCCTCCGTTTGTATTTAATGACGTGACAAGTTAACTTTTTTTTTTATTTTTAATTAGTTTTGTGTCTGCAGCATTTTCATAAACATTTTTTACCCTCAATTCATATTAGATACTTAAGTACAGTTAATTAAAAAACAAATTAGTTATTAACTAATATCACCACAAATACAATAAATTAACCAGAAAACGAACTTAAAAAAATCGTAAAAATTTGCAGAGGAATAAAAGATATTGCAAAAATTGGATTATGAGCATTTAGAATTCATCCGAGTGCAATAATTGCCTGCTTCCTACTATGCCTAGCCATTGGCCTTAAATCGCTATTATAACGAGTTAACTCATCACGAACATGATAACTACCATCCCAACTGCTCCCTAAGTGCCGGGAGAAAATTGTGGGCTCCAAATCACTGCAAAAGCTCAATTAAATCTTTTTCAGTCCACAGGTGCCGGAAAAGCTTGCGGGATTCGTCAGGTGCGCCGATTTCTTGGCGACGATGGATACATATTGAATGACCATCTCAACCAAAAGCTTAAGCTGTTAGTGAAATGTATCATTTAATATTAATATCTCCAATACGCCCCCTCAAGTGCAGGCGAATTACATTTGAAGCCTTGCACTTGAAATATTTGAAATGGGTGGCTGTGGGATTCGAACTCAGGACCTTTTCGTTTGAGGAAGGTCATACAAATAATTATTTCCTGGTTTGAGAGCTCACGAGGAGACTGAGTTGGGCTAATCGATGTTTTCGAGTGAAGACTAAAATGTGGTTGAACGGGTAGAAGTAGAGACAGAGAGAGGTGCACGGCCGTCAAATGATGAAGAAAGAATAAGAGAAACAGGAGAGAGAAAAGGAATGGTTCACTGGGCCCAATTTTGTAAGCAAGTTTTGAAGGCAAACAAGTAAGTAAAACTAACACCGTTAGTTTTTTTTAACATTGACCGTAATTGACAGGGGCCATTTTGGTACATTTAATAATTTAGGGGTGTTTGGGACAAATCTCATAGTTCAAGGGTGCAAACTATACTTTCCCCTAATTATCTTATATATATAAAGCATCGTATAAAAGGTGAGAAACTAACCCAAGTTAGCTGTTCTTTTTAGTGAAGAAAGCTACCTGTAAGAAAAATATATATATTAAAAAAAAGAAATTATGTCAACTTTCAATGGTGAAATTTTCTTCACAAAGAAAATATAGAGAACATGGTAAAAAGATAATGGGAATACTAGAAATTGAATTCCGAGAGACTCATACTACATATTTGACACGACTGCTAGAAATTGTGCCACAGCCATTTTTGCTATTCAAATGCAGTTGCCTCATTTTCGGTGTTGCGATTTTTTGACCACTGAAACAGAGGAATTGAGTAGCACGCTGTAGAAATCCCTTCCCACCAAAATCCTTCCTTCATAAACAAATAGATGATTTTAGTTAGAGTTAAAACATGTAGCATGTATATACGTATATATATGTATATATACCTGGTGAGTGCTCCTTCAATACTCGTATGAAAACGGGGCCATCAGCTTATTAGTCGTTTTTTTGACTTTGTCCTGAAATTCTTTGGGCATCGATCTAACGTTGATTTTTCGAAGAGTTTGTATTTTCAAAAGTCCCAAAGGGATTTCTTCCAACTTATCGCACTTCTCGATAGTGAGAATAGCAAGTCTCGGCATGAACACCTCACCTCTGACCTCCCATTTCTCCAACAACCGTAAAGTCGATATTTCAAGACTCGTGAGGTGAGGAAAGCCCGATTCGTCAGAACACACCATTTTCGTCGCAACAAATGCATCGTTGCGCAAAACGAGGCTCCTTAGGTTGCGAAGCTTCCCTAATATAGGCATGGGGTCCTCACTATATTCGGATCCGTTAAACACCATCGAAGTGAAGTTCGAACCAATACCCTCGTGAAGTGGTGTCACCCCTAAGTAACCCTCTATATTCAGACCATGAAGAGCATTACACTCCAGCAACGCCGCCACTACCGATAGCCTTTCTTTTGTGTAAGAGTCAAAATTTTTCACCACAACCGACGAGTGGCGTAAGAATTTGTTCTGATTCAGACAGCTCGTGGTTTTCTTCAAGTCCGTGTTGTTCCCATCCACATATACTGTCAGAACTCGAAGGCTTTCCATCTGTAGGAGGTCGTTTACGTCGCACATGCAAGCATTGAAATTTTCTAGTACTTGGAGTTTGGTCAACGTGTCGAGCTTCAACTTATCCTCTGTACCATCACATCGAAAGGTTGAAGGAAAGTACAGATGCTTCAAGCTTGATAGCTTCGTCAGGACATTCTGTATTGTCATCACACAAGAAACTCTTACACGTAAGTCTAACGTTTCCAGTAACGGAAAGTTGCTCAGAGATGATGTAAACTCGTGGAGATAGCATCCTCGGAAACTCAAGTGTCTTAGGTAAGTTAGTTTTTCTAAACCTCTAGGCAACTTTTTAACCCGGAAATCAACTTCATCAAAGTCCAACACTCTTGTCCTACGGAACTCGGTAAGGTCCGGGAATTCTCCGGGCCGGGTTTGTTTGGAGTGAGACTCATCCATATCGTAGAAAAGAATTGATCTAATATCATTGCCCTCAGATACGTTTAGAGGAAAAATATCGTCCGTATTCAAACATAACGCAACTCTACCGGTTAGATTTCTTGTTATGTTTCCACGTGCGACTTTGAAAAACTCTTCCTCTCCTCCTTTCTGTATGCAGAGGTCACGAATCGAGTCATTCAGCGTGCACGACTGAAACCTTGCGGAGGGCGGCACCTCCTCATTCACTGCCACACTCACCATGTTTCTATCAAACAATTCGTCGAAATACTCTTCCGCAACTTCCATTTGCGATTTACCTACATTTGAACCTCTAATTGATATAAACCCTTCAGCTATCCACAATAAGCACAATTTTTCGACAGGTATAGGTTGGTTGCGTGGGAAATATCCCAAGTATAGAAAACATGGCTTCAAATGAAGTGGTAACTGATTGTAGCCTATAGACAAAATACGTTGCATCGTATCATCTGATGAATACATGTTATCCCTCAGCATTTGTTCCATCCCTTCCCATTCTTCCAAGTTCTTTGTTCTCATGGCACCACCTATGATAGTTGTGGCTATAGGGAGGCCCCTACAAGATTCGGCTATTCGCATCGCAATCTTCTCTATCTCTGGGTGCCAAAACCAAAGACAAGGAGTAAGTTGGATTTGGATCCACAAACATTACATGACTAGAATAATTGAATATTTGATGCAATTTCGGTGTCTATATTTTGTCGGAATAGTAGACTAAAATACTGGTTTTTATAACAAAAATGAAAATAATAAATTAACATAGCTTAATAATGTAGTTTATATATCAAATGTCTTTTCATGTGCTATATTTATACTAAGGTGAAGTGTTATTTTCTTCTTATTGTAATTTTTTTCTACATAGTATTGAAATTTTCGATGTAATTTAATTTTTATAAAACTACATTTGAAGAGTTTTTCAATAATATATTATGAGCATATATATGTAAAAATTTATTTTAAAATAAATCCTTTTAATTTAAGTTAAGCATTAGATACCTAAAGTAGTTCCAAATTTTAAATTAGTTCTCATATATATTTATTATCACGTAAATTCCACAATATGAAAATATAATAATCTAAACTCAAACTAATTATTATTTATATTATGTTACATTAAAAGTATGATAATATTTTTATATATTATAACTTATTTCAAAAGTCAAAGTTTATTTTCTTAAATTCTTAAATTAAATGTATTTCATACAAAACTCATAATAGAGTTTTTCAATGACATGTCATAAACATGTAAGTGAATGTTATCAGGTTAATTAGGATTATTTAGAAATAACAAAATAAAATTAAAAATAAATACTAATAACCAATATATAAGAAATATGTCCATAAATAACATGAAATAGTTGTGAATGACTAAAAACTCAATAAATATGCATAAATTATACCAAAAATAACATAGTAAATACCCTAATCATTAATTATTTTTCAATTAACTCATTAAGAGTGATAAGGGGCAAAATTGAAAAAAAATGCAATTAATGCTTCATTGGAACTCTAAAATGACAAATAATTTGGGACAAAAAAACAACAACCCAAAAAGACAAATAATATGGGACATAGGAGTACTTAATAATTAGTCTTATTGTTTACTTAAGTCAATTTTATAAATAATATACTGTAACTCAAACATCGATATTTAATAAAATAATTTATGAAAATAAAGAAAAAAGTTGAGTAATATAGAGACGTGGATGATCAAAACTATTTTAAATTTTGAGGTCAAAGAAAGAAAGTAAATATAAGGGTGCATACGTATAATTAGACCGATGGGAGGTCAATATAGTTTACTCAACATTTGGTTAGAGGTAAAAAATTAATTTAAAAAATGATCAAATGAGTTAAGTCTTAGGCTCCGTTTGATAGGATTAAGTGCTTAATGCTGAATGCTGAATAAATCTCTGAATGGGTAAGAGCTGTGTCTGATTGCTGAATGTTGAATAATTAAGTTCATTTGATAACTGAATATCTGTAACGTCTGAATATTATAATTTTCCTGATATACCTTTGTATAATTATGAAACATTATAAGTAATTAAATTTGATTAGAATATTTGAATAAACATATTTTTTAAGCATGATCTACTTAATAAGTAAGTTATAAAAATTTAACAGACATTACATATCTTGATATGAACTTATAATATCTAACATAGACAAAATATAAATTTCAAATTTCAAATTCAAACAACTAATAAAAATAAAAGTCATAAATAAAAGCAGAGAAAATATAAAAATACATTAAAGTCATTAAAATTGGCTCAAAAATATTAATCCCTAAAATTAAACTGAAAAAAAATTAATAAATTCTAATTGGTCCTGGTCCCTCCAGGCATCAATCGAGTTGCTATTTCATCGCGCACATTTGCCATGTATTGCATGTCTTCATCCCCCCACCATGGTCCAGTAGTTGTACCATCATTCACAAGATTTTGCTCATCCTCATTCGCACCATCAAATGACATATTAGGTTGATCAAACTCCTCAAAAAGTGTATCACTTATACGCTCTTTTCTTATAAAATTATGAACCGCAAAACAAGCAATCACTATATTTCTCTGCACATTAAACGAAAAAGGGGCCATTTTTTGTAAAATTGGAAATCTTTTCTTCAGAACTCCATAAGCTCGTTCGATGACATTCCTTAGTTGAGCATGAGCATGGTTAAATCTTTCTTCTTTAGTTAAAGGACGCCTACGACGATAATCTCCTAACCAATATCGTACATTACGATATGGAACCATAAATCCTCTAGTATGTGTATATGCAGCATCACAAAGATAGTATTTACCTGTAACCATTATAAATATAAAGTAATATCAAAATTTAACGTATAAATATTAAGAATTTAGTTTGAATTTAAAGTAATACCAGGTGGAGGCCATGGAAACCCATTTCTTGGATCAGCAACTGTATCCGTTAGGACTCTTGAATCATGTGTTACCCCTTCCCAGCCTGCCCAAACGAACGTAAAAATCATATTAAAGTCGCATATTCCTAAAATATTTTGATAACATTCTCCCTTTCCTCTACCCCTATACATAGTCTGTTGTGAAATTGGAATAATGGCAGGTATTAATGTTCCATCAAGTGCACCAACTGCTCCCTACATTTAAATAAAATTAAAAAATTATGCAAACATTAGAAAACTTACAAATCTAAAGCAATAAAATAATGACAAAAAAAAATATACAATGCACAAAAATACCTTAAAAATGCGGTTTAATCTCCTAAAACTTGCTGAAATGTTTGGATTTGGGTCAAATGTTGTGGGTACTATTACCTCCCTTGCCATATTCATCATTGCACGTAACACTTCGTGAAAACACGCATGAACTGTTTGTGAAGAGTGTTGAAATCTACGCTTCACCACACGAAGACGCTTACTATGCCCAATAATCTGCAAGAACATTGCCATTTTTTCTTCTACAGATATATGTTTACTATCATGTAGCCACCCTCTTTGTCTAAAATGCATACTCAAGCGAATATACGCAATACGAGACATGCGCATTAAATCCATACATTGTGTGTCTGACCCAGACAATAGCTCTAACGTGTAAGCATGACCGGACAATGCTGAGTTGTTATCTATATTTCTTGGTACACGCATTAAATGTCTCGGTCGAATTTGTGTGTACCAATAGATCATCATCAATATCATAATCTCATAAATTTCCATATTTAACCTGTTAACATAAATGAATAATACATTAAATATTTGAGAATCAATATTTCTTAAACACATAATTAAATCATAAAGAGAATTCAACTCACAAGACAAATATAAAACAAAGTCTATCATTATTAAATATCAAAAAAATGCAAAGTTCATAACTATTGTACGGAAATTAAAACAAATTCATTAAAAATAAATACTACTGAAGTCTTCAAATTAATCTACATAAGTCCTTGCAAGTTAAAATTCAAATCCCATGTTTTCTCCAATTCTTTTAATCCATGCTTTCAGAACACCCACATTATCCTTAGGAAACACCATCCAAGCTTCTCTATGTCCCGCACAACTACCAAATATCACAACAGCAGAGACATAAAAGATGTCTTCTTTATCCCATCCTAGTTCATCCAATTTAGCAATGCAATCTGTAACTGACGGTCCACTATTATTTTTTATCATAAACTTCAAAGCAGCTGACATCTCTTCTACTAAATTATTATCACTAGATGAAGGTTGGATCTTTTTCTTTTTCTTTTTAGGTTTTTCTCCTCGTGACTGATGGTTGGAATCATTACTCTGAGTGTCTGTGGTAGGGACAAAATTTTCATCTTCATCACCAAACAAAATATCTTCTATGTCATGTTGTTCTGCATTTCGAACAGTTGAAGAAAATGAGCTAGTACCAGGATTTGGATCTTGGGAACTAGGTCCCCAAGAATGAATCCCTGTAGCAGTGGTTCCATCAAATAGTGCTCTACAAAGGTCAGGATACGGTAAGGGGGCAAGTCTTAAACTCCTTGCCTTAGGATGAGCCTGTATTTAGATATGAAATAAGAATTCTTAATATAGTGGAATAGTTAATGAAAATTACTGAGATAACATAGTGAAGAACTTAAACACTAGACCTTTATATACTCTGTCCACTCATCCTTTGTCATGTTGATGGTATTGGTCGCATGATTGTAAATATTGCCTGTTTTCATAGTTAACGGTAACCAAGCTTGATACTTTTGTTTTAAGTAGTCGTATCTATTCTTCATTTGTCTTTGAGAAACCACAAAATTATAATTTTTCTTGAGAGTATCCATAATCTTGGTCCAAGATTCAGCCTTAAGGCTTCCTCCTTCCCTGCCATTTAGTGCAACTTCTTGGATACACGCTTCGAGAAAACATTTATCTACTTCAGTATTGTTCCATCTGACTCTATTATTTTCCTCTGATTCTTCCATCCCTATACTCATGGATATTTATGCGCAAAAGGAAAATTTAAACCAATATACAGTATCACTGATATTACTACAAACAACCGACAAACAAGAAAAATGCGAATAGACAAACTATCGACAAACAAGAAAATTTAAACCAATAGACAATATTCACTCTTGAATTATAAGAGTTCAATTTTTTTACCATCCTAATTAAATAAAAAATAGTTGAATAACTTTAATCTGAAGTACATAGAATTCAATAGGAAATCAACTCTTTCAAGAAAACACACAGTTGAAGTTTTTGTGAAAAATTCGATCACTCTCATAATTGTCACCAACTCTTTCTCTAAAACATGGGCTTGTTTTGAAATATGGAAACATGAAATACGTAAAATATAAAAGTAATTATTGAGAACTTATTGGTGTCAGAGAATTCACTGGATGACGGCCAATTTCTGTTACGCCTCACAATTGCGAATTATTCTCTTTTTCATGCGTGTATTCTGAATATTCCTACTTGCCGATAATCCTTTATTTTGTGGTTTTCCTATCAAGTAAATTAATTTAGTTCGATTCATTTTCTGGTGCAGCATACAAAAGGATCCTAGAGACAGATCTTCGTCTTTGGAACTACTGGTTAGTTTAGTTCAACATAACTTGTCCTTTACACAAGCTTTCATTAATCTTTTAATTAACAACTATAGTGTAATTCGCAGAGCCACCCATTTATCAAGAAGTTTGAAGATAAAGACATTGATCTCAGCATTATAAATATGTTTTAAGATTATTAATAGAAGATAAATAATCTATGTAGTCCATGTACTATGGATTTAAAAACATAATTAACATATATAAAAATTCAAGAACATAAAGGTTTATTCAGATGAAAATTGATGAAGAAGAAAGATCTAACCTACCGGCCTGAAAATTTTTCGTTCGATAGTTTTTGTCGTGCTTCACTGTCGTCGCCCCCAGCAGATTGTTGATGGAGATGGAGAGAAAAAATATCGCGTTATGAGGTAGGGTAAATATTTAAATATTTATTTAAGAATAAAAGAGTCCAATATACGTTCAGATACTCCTCTTACCGAATAAGCGGCAAATTTTCGGTTGAATGGTTAAGAGATTAGTGGACCGATTAAGAGATGGTTACCAAATGGACTTAACGGCAAATCTACTGACCGAATCAGCATAGGACTCATTAAGAGGTCCATTAAGTGCAATCAAACGGGCCCTTAGTTACTATCCAAATTCAACGGAGATATACATTTTTCAAATTAGATGCAGTCTAGGTGTAATTACACCAAATAATAGGTTCTTGAAGTAGTAAATTTACACTTTCTTTAAGGAAATTGTTGGTAAATTTCATCAGAGTGATCATAACATACGAGTAACACGAAAAAAAATATTTAATTGTTTCAAACAATGATTATGCAGAGAAATTAAAGATAAGGGCAAATTACCAAAACCCCCCTGAGGTAAGCCTAAATAACGAAAATCCCCCCACGTTCTCCTAATTACGAAAACCCCCCTTGACTAACGGTTGACCGAATTTTTTTAACCGAAAACGTGAAATGTCTATTATATCCTTCTGTTAAATATGTGAAAATAAAAGGGCAAATTACCAAAACCCCCCTGAGGTAAGCCTAAATAACGAAAATCCCCCCCACGTTCTCGTAATTACGAAAACCCCCCTTGACTAACGATTGACCGAATTTTTTTAACCGAAAACGTGAAATGTCTATTATATCCTTCTGTTAAATATGTGAAAATAAAATTAAGCCAATTGGGCGTTAAAAATAATTCCAGAACTTTGGCGTCAAAGGTTTCTACTGATCGAGAGGGCAAATCGGTCAAAGATGAATTCTTGGCCGAGGAAGAGCGATCCAATAGGCTTTATAGACTGAAGTAAGTCTTCGGATTTTTCCTTTTTTTATTTCTGGAGAAAAATCGAGGGTTTTGATGAATTGTGTGTTCTAATTTTTGTTTTTTTGACACGTGTGCGTCTTAATCAATTGTTTGTTTGCATGCCCCTTTGATGATTAGTTTTGGGTTTTTGTAGTAAATTTTATGTATTGTTTTCTTGGTGGAATGATCAATGGTAAGTTGTGAAGTGCCCTCGTGTTTTTCGAATCACGAGTTGAATTGGATAAAATTGGGTATTTGATGGTAGGATTCTTGTTGAATGATTTGATCCCGAGTCGAATTTGCAGGACAATGTACATCGTAGTGTATTTATGTTCGACATTGTCGTCTTTCGGGTCTTCTTCTTCTTATGATGTAGTGATATTGTGTATTCTTCGGAGTTGTTTGAATTAGTGAAATCAGAAGCTTTTTTCTTTCTTTCTCTCTCTTACGGGTGTTTCGTCTAGTGTTTTTTTCCTAGAGGTGCAATGAGTTACGTGCTTCATTGCATAGTTAATCTGTGGCTAATCTGCATTAGTGAATATCTTCAACGGATGTGGTGCTTTTTTTTCTAATTATTTGGGAAAAATACGAGCTTTATGTATTCTTTCATGTTATGATTTTGGTGTGAAATTGCTGATGTTCGTGTTCGTGCACTATTATGGTCAGCAGTACCTTACGAGCTTTATATCCTTCTGTTAATTACGAAAGTATTATTTATTACTTTGTAATTTGTATTGATAATTTGATATTATAATTTTTTTATTTTTTTTATTTATATATTTTAATTGATTTTATTTATCCAGAGGAGTATTCATACGGATTTATGCTTTTAGCTTGAATGATGCATGGTTGTATTTCTCGAATTGTAAAATATTTAATTTTATATATAAAAAATAATTAAATTTTGAAATCTCATCCATTGATTTTAATCCAATAAAAATACATTGTACATTCATAATGATTGATTACATTTGGGTTTAATTTAAGAAAAATAAGTATTTTGCAAACACTTATATATTTCATGAAGAGTATATATTTATGACCCCTCATTAAATAAAATGCTTACAATTACCCCCCTAAGGGTAATTTCGTGTACAAGGGCAAAATTGGTATTATCGGAGGAATATTGAGGAGAATCAAAAAGATTCTATCGAGTTTAACACCGTTAGAGCGATTTGTAAGATGTCTGCATACCTCAGGGGGGTTTCGTAATTACGAGAACGTGGGGGGAATTTCCGTTATTCAGACTTACCTCAGGGGGGTTTTAGTAATTATCAACTATCACAACAAAATAAGAGAAATTTTAATGTGAGCATTTTCCATGCATGAATTAATATATAAAAAAATATTTTAGTTATTTTCTTGTGATTTTATATTCTTAGTGATATCAATTTTAGAATAATTTTATTTCATCAACGTTTTGATACATAAGTACAACATGAAGTTTTGTACTTATTTAATTTTATTTAAAAATATTTTTTTATAAAATATAGTATGTAACTTTTATTAATTAATAATAAGTTATATATTAAGTAAAATCACACGTAATCGCATGCAACGCATGTGTTGCTTGCTAGTATCATCAAATAATTAAATATTCATTGACTCATATATGTATAGTTAATAAAAAATAGGGTAGATTACGGGGACTCCCCTGAGGTATGACCAAATGACGTACACACCCATGTGATATCCGTAAACACAAATACCCCCGTCAACTATTGCTCCGTCTATCAATTAGACTCTTACGGAACTATGACTTCCATGGAATATTTGATATGAATTTCCAGATCTACCCAGGGGTAAATGTAATATACCCACAGGGGGTAAATATAATATTTTGTCTTATCTAAGGGGTATCCGTAATTTACACAAAATTTTGTTTGTTTAATAAAAGGGTTACTTAGACATTTCATTCGTCTTGTTCGGTTTTATAATGAGTTAGTTAGTTTTAGGGTTATTTGTAATTACCAATACCACAGGGGTTTGTAGATTATTTGGTCATACATCATGGAGTTCCCCATAATTTACTCTTAAAAATTTGATCGGTAAAACTCCTTATAGTTAAAGATCGCATATGTAGGTGAGTTATGTGATGCATGATATTGTTAAAAAATCAAAATACATTTATAGTTGACAATAAAAAATATAATCCAACAAATTAAATAGCAACAACGTTCATTTCATTAGTATTTTTTTATTCATGAATGTGAGATTTAATAGAGAGAGATATATATAGATTGAAAAAAGTTTAACAGAATCAAATTTGATAGAAAACTAAGTTGACGAAATATAAATAGTAGTTCTTAAGAAGATGGTTAATACATTATAAAAATATAATTAGAAAAACATATCATAGTAGTAATTAGTAGTTAAGACAAAAGATCATGGCTGGCTGACAAAATAAAACTATATTATTTCATCCTTATCAAAAAATTACTTAATCTCTTAATCCTAAATATTTAACGTAACGGCTAGTTTTGTAAATCAAAATTGTTTAAGAACACTATTGAGTATTGTTTGAGTACAAAAAAAAAAGGTGGCAATGTTTGGAAACGTTTTGGATGTTATATTGATTTCATTTTGAGGAAATATGTTTTGGGGGAAGAATTTGAGAATGAAATTAATGTTTGTTTGTATTTTGGAATGAGACAAAATACACTGTAGCAGACAATCAGTCAAATCATGTCTAAAGGTGTTAGAAAAAAGTATTTTTGAAGAAAAAAATTGAAAGATGAAGTGATGTTTATTTGTTTTTTTAGTGAAGACATATTTTACTGTAGCAGTCAAATCATTTTACTGCAGCAGTCTCCTTCAGACAAACCATCATGTCTGAAGGAGAGAGAAACTTTTGAAATTGTTTTGAGAAAATAATTTGAAAAGTTTAAAAAATACAACTTTGTTTTGGAGAATCAATGAAAATAAAATAAGAATGATTCCCAACATTGCCGAAATTTTCCCGGCCAAGTTCTTGTAATTTTCCTCATTTTGTAATAGGATTTGAATTTCTTGTAAAAAAAAAAAAAGTAGGTAAAAATAAGTAGTGAGTAGAAAAGAACCTGGATCATCATCAAGCAGTCCACCAGATTTGAGTTTGAAAAAGTGGTAAGTTTCATCGTGGGTCATGAACCGCACAGGAATATCGATGGATCTGGTAATTTTAACGAACTCTCTTTCCCTGGTTGTGAGGAGTATTCTGCTTCCGTTACGGTCATCCCTAAAGGCAAACCGTAGGGTGTTCCAGTCATCTACGGACCGTATATCATCCAGAACAATCAAGTATATCTTCTCCTTTTGTGCTTTGTGAAGCTGATTTATCAACTCCATTGTCTCCATTCCGGAGATCTCGTCTCTACTCAGATCCGAAGCAGCAAGGCGAAAAAGTATTGTCTCCAAAATGCCCCTAGCCTGGAATTCTACTCCCACGGTAGCCCACACGCGGATATCGAATTTCTTCGTCACCGTCGGGTCATTGTAGCACAATCTCGCGAGAGTGGTCTTCCCCAATCCAGGCATCCCCACTAACGCAGTGACTGACAGCTGGTTCGGCCGTCCCTCAAACAAAATATACTTCACGGTCACGGCTGATACTTCATCCATCATCGGGACGATCAAAGAGGCACGATAATCTGGAACTCGCCGTTGATTGTGAGTGCCGCCGCCGCCGCCGCCGCCGCCGCTGGATCTAATCGTGAGGATATTTTTGACCTCGTCGATCCTCATCTTCAAGACGGAGAGATCTTCCCGGGAGCGCTTCCAGAGGCGGCACCGAAATGCACCTCTCGATTCCGCCGCCGCTCCGGCGGCGGAGTAAGACTCGACGGCGTCCTCGATCTCGTAGGCGAGTTGTCTGACTTGTTGCAGTACGTCTCCGCTGATACTATTGTCTGATTGATTGGATACCAAACAGTTTTCAATTAGGTAGTCCAGATCTGACCGGAGCTGCACAACTTCGTCGTGAAAAACTCCTTCCCCCACAACCAAATTGTTCAGTTTTTCCCCCACCGTACACACAGCTGACACGGTGGTCATCATTTTTGGAATAAGTTTGACTTTCTGTTTTTATGAATTTCTTTTTTTTTTTTTTTTTTTTTTGAGTACGTTCTTATGAAATTGTTCAAGAACAAGAAGATGAAGGAAGACTTTGAAAATTCTCTCAAGTTTTGAAAAAAAAAGGAAGGTTGATTTAATAATCACTGAAAGCTAGATAGAGGAATCAAATGTTTTAAATCCATTTCCCCTATTGTCGAGCTTTTGAATTTAAAGGGTATTTGGGTCTTTTTAGGTCAAAAAAAATTCACAATCGCATATATAACGAGTGTATTGCACAATCGACTCGTAAGGATTTTATTGACTTTGACTATTATTTAATATTAATATGTCCAATATTTACAATTTAAGTTAGAACCCAGATCACATGATTCTTCAGGTACATTAAACAAGGGGAAATATGCAATACCCCTCAAATGGAAAATATTTTGAACTAAACTCAATTGACTATTAGAGACTTTTGCCTACACCAAAGTTTCATTCTTAATTAGTGAGACCCCCTAACTAGACATGATAAGACTAAAATGCCCTTGTGTGATTAAGTTTTTAACGTGATATAATTTATTTCACTCCTCTCTCTCTCTCACGTTCTCAATCTCTCCTCTTCTCTTCTCTCTTTTTTTTTTTTTTTTTCCGTCTTTTGGCAGATCCGTATATACGCAAGTATTTTTGGGCGAGATCGAGGTGCCTAGTCGTCGTCTTTGTAGCGCTCTGTGATTGGTGTTGAAGAAAAGTTGCGTGGAAAAGATTAGAGATTGTTTGGATTTTTTTTTTTTTTTTTTTAGTCTATGGATTATAATGTTTGGTTCGCAATTTACGAGCGTTTGTTTTGTTCAGAGCAAAATGTATGGGGTTTGTGTCGTCCAATTTGTATCTTATTTCATTTTTCTCGTTTTCTCAGTTTTTTTTTTCCCAGATGCCACCACCACCACCGCCGCCGCCTCTTTCACTCTCTTTCCTTCACCACCGCCGTTGTCGTCGACTCCCATCCCTCTCTCTCGTTATTTTTCTATCTTTATTTATGTATTTTTCGATTTTTTTTTTCAGATCTGAACAGCAGCAGTAACATGACTATAGTTATATTCGAATATGACTATAGTCATATTTATGTATTTTTCGAATATGACTGTAGTCATATTTATGTATTTTTCGAATATGACTATTGTTGAATATAATCTATCTTCTCGTTTTCAAGTTGACTTCTAGTAAGTAGATTCAAATTGATTTTTTGTGTGGATATTGATTGGATTGTTTTGGTAAACAATAGGGAATCTTTGTTGTTTTATATGATTTGGTAAACATGACTATGCCATATAATCGGAATTTTTAAGTTCAAAATATAAAAAACAACAATATAAAGAAAGAATATGACTACAGTTAATATAGTCACATATAGTCATATTCAACAATAGTCATATTCGGCCTTGCAAACCTGTGGAGAGAAAAATTTCAATTTTTTGTTTTAAAAAAAATTAAAAAAAATATTTTTATTAAAAAATATTAAAAAAAAAAAAAATGGCTAAATAAATTCCGAAAATAATATAAAATAAAAAATAAAAAAATAAAGTCCGAAAATATATATATATTTTTTTGATTTGGTAGCAATTTTTTAGGAATTTGGAAGCGGATTTTTAGGAATTAAATTGTTGTTATGGAAAGAGAAAAAATGAATAATTGAGATAAATTATAATGATTAATCCTAATTAGCGGGATTTAGGTGCCTCATTAATAGGAATTTTGTAAATACTAGATAATTATTAAAAAAAACGTGCGGGATTTAGTTGCCTTATTAATAAGAATTTTGTAAATACTAGATAATTATTAAAAAAAAACGTGATGGGTAGTACAAGGGTAAGATTGAAAATAAATATTCTAGAGGATTTTCACAGAGGAAGAATTATGGTATGGACATATCACTATTTTTTATCTATAGGAGGGGTGTATTGCTAATGACCCCATTAAACAAAACTAAAACATCACATGCAATATAAATTGAAATGAAATTTTGGAGAAGCAAGTTGCTGTAGTTGTGACAACGTGTAATTAGTAATTACTAAAGTTTTTGCCAGTTTAATTACACTTTAAAACTACTTATTGTTAACAAATTGCACTTTGAAATTAGAGTTTTAGTAGAATATTGCACATCATCTGTCATCATAACATTATTAAATTCATAAGTTTCACTTAAACCTATTTTCAGATCCAAAAGAAAGAAAAAAAAAAAAAAAAGACCCATATCTAGGAAAATGTGTTAAGAAAACACACCATTCCAAAAATAATTAGAGAAAATCTCTGTTGCTAATATTCTATATATATATATATATATATATATATATATATATATATATATATATATATATATACACCGTGGCGGTGGCTGAGGGTCGGCGTTTGCATCAGCAGGCGGCAAATCATCGGATTTTGGTTCTTGGCCGCCGCTTTTGCGTACACCGCAAAACGTTGTCGTCGGCCGGATTAATTTTGATTCAAAGACCTGCTCTCCTTTTGTAAGGAACTTGTTTGTTTCTGTCTTTGCTTGGAATATTTCGTATAGGTCGGCGGAGATAGGCGATCACATAGGGCGCTGCCGACACTGGCTAAGCGTTGATGGTGTGGTGTGGTGGCGGTGTGGTGACGATGGGGAGGCATTTTTTGGTAGATCGGGCAGAGGATGGTGCGGATAGAGAATTCGCGCAGGCTGGAACCTTAATCGACTATGTACATGTTCAATTGTTGATTAAGCTAATCAACTATGCTCTGATAGTCGATTAAGGTTGATCGACTCCAATTTTAATTTTTTTGGACTTTTTGTTTATTGATTCCCGATTGTATAAATCAGTTATAATATTTTTATATTTCTTTTTTGTAAAATATAGTTGATTTAGCATTTTTTTTGCAGTTTTGATTTGTTATTTTTAGTAGCAGATTCTTAATCGACTATGCTTCACATCATAGTCGATTAATATTCTTCACTAACTCCAATTTTTTATTTTTTTTGGATTTTTTGTTTATTGATTCCAATTGTGTAAATCAATTATAATGTTTGTATATTGTTTGTTTTTGTAAAATATACTTGAATTTTTATTTTTGTAGTTGTGATTTGTTATTTTTAGTAGTCGGTTCCTTAAGCGACTATAGTTCATCATAGTCGATTTAATATGCTTCATAGTCGATTAATATACCTGATATAAAAAAAAGTAAAAAAAACGAAAAAGAAAAAATAAAAAAAAATTATAAAAAAAATTGAATTTAAAAATAAATAAATAATAATAATAATAAAATAATAATTAAAAAAGAAAGGGAAAAAAGGACACATCTGGGTCATGGGGCGGATAGTGCTGATGAAGTGGCAAAAAAGGATATAATTGGACAAATAGATAGTTGAAATTAACAGAATATTTTTATCAAATGGTGTAAAATAATTTGGGCCTCTCTCTGTTAAGAAAACTATTAAGGGGTTATATCAAAGACACCTAGATAATATTCAAATAACAAATAACGATAAATGGCATGTGCATACATGTGACTAAAAGTCAGATCTAATTATTACAATATTTTTTATTATTAAAAGGACAATTAATGTACAAACCACATATAAAACTGGACCTAGGAATCGACAAAAGAATTTGAACACAATTCATTTAACTTCATACTCTTTTATTGCACCAATTAGACCACCTTAGTGACTAATTGGTATTAGTATTTATAAGGTTATGGGTTTAGAGATTTATTTGATGTCAACAATTTTTTTGCAGATGAAGTCGTTGAATGGGAAGTTAGATGCTATATCGAATTATTTATATAGAGATTTATTTGATGTCAACAATTTTTTTGCAGATGCAGCGGTTGAATGGAAAGTTAGATGCTACATCGAATTATTAATATTTAGTGATTATTAATTAAAAATAAGATTAAATAATCATCCACTAATCACACATATGTATAGGTGTGTGAAAGAGAGAGATTATATGCAGATTTAGAGTTAACGATCACCCAATGTAACTAATCCGATATAACATCTAATTTCACACAACTGGATACCTAACCAAGATTCTCTTGTCAATTACTAACGTAATTATTGATGATAACATGTGCATACATGTAACTGAACTTTGAAATGCACCTAACCAAAATTATTTATGTTTTTCTTTAGAATAATGAAAAGGCGGCGGTTATATGCAAGCCCATTTTTTTATTAGATCAAAACCACATAAATGATTTTATTAGTTCAAGCCCGTAAATTAATCTAATTTTATTAGATCAAGACCAAAGATGACAAATATATCCTTATCCACAAATAATACTCAAATACAAATAAATCTTATTTTTAATTTGTTCAAGACCAAAAATCACAAAAAAAAAATAAAAAAATATCACGATTGCCAACCAACGAGACTTTCATCGCAACGGCGATGACCAGCGACCCACCCACCGCACCATTACCACCACCAACAAGTAAGTTCATTTTACTAAACTTTTGTTTGTAAATTCGAAAATATTAATCGAACATCGATGTCCTTTTTACGAAATTTTTATTTGTAAATTCGAAAACATTAATCGAACATTGATTCTTGATAAATATGTATGAATGAACATTAATCTATGCTTATTTCTTGTTGGGTTGCAATGATTTGGCCGATTTTAGAAAAAAAATTGATATTGAAATTGGTTTTTTTATTTTTTTTCGTTGGTTTCCGAAATCGGTTTATCCAGACCGATTTTGTCCACGAAAATCAGCGTCATAATACCGATTTTTGTTAACCAAATCGGCGACACAACGTCGACTTTACAAGTTAAAATCGGCGTTCTAATGTCGATTATTGAGTACAAAATCGGTTTTCGAATACCGATATTTTTTGATTTTTTTTTTAAATAATACATTTTATATTTGGTTAATTGATATTTTTTAAATATTTGAAACGAAAATGTTTATCTCCATTCGGTGGCGTCTACCACGCCTTTAACCCAATCGAGTAGAGCTTTCTGTATCTCAAATATTTATTCGTTAGATAATTCATTTGAATAATCCTCCATCAATCCCCTAGGTTGATGCACGAAAGTATGAGAAAACGGTCTTAAAAAAACACAGATAATAAAATCGGTATTTAAAAACCGATTTTTGTAGTACAAGTCGGCATGATAATACCGATAATACAAAAACAAATCGGTGTTGTCATGCCGATTTTTACTACAAAAATCGGTTTTTAAGTACCGATTTTTATTAAAATAATTGGAATGTGGTTACCGACTTTTGTAACAAAAATCGGTATTTGCAGACCGATTTTTTCGATCGTCGAATTTTTTTCCCAAAAAAAAAAACGACCCAAAAGTAAAAATAAAGGGTTAAAACATATTTCATTGTGTTCTCCACCCTCGTAAACCACCATATCATTGTTTTCTGGTTCCATCGTGAATGTTTGGTATGTATTTGATAATTTTGGTGTGTAGGATTTCTTTGTAGGTTTGTGAAGAAGAAGGAGAATAATGAGAGTTTTAAGTCGTGAAATAAGGAAGAGAGATTTCTGAATTTATGTATTTTATTTGGTCTTGCACAAAGGAAGTGATTCTTTTTTATTTTTTAATGTTTTGTGTTTTTTATTTGATTTTAAATTTCATTAAGGGTAAATTAGTATTTTTATGTTAAAGGTCTTGAACTAATAAAAAAATGGGCTTGCATATAACCGCCGCCTTTTTATATATATATATATATGAAACATAATTATAAAGTTTATTAATATTACTACTATATATAATTTAGATCAAATCACATCAGTAATTTATCCCAAAAGATGTTTTCTTCGAAAAAAAAGCAAATCAGGGCTAACGAATTAGAGCTCAAACCCCTTGTTGAATCCAGGGAGAAGCTTCCCCGTAAAATATGCAGGATTCCGACTAGAGTGAGAGAGTACGCCGGTGAATTCGAAAGTCGGCAAGTCAAAAAAGTCGTCGTCGGCGGCTCTTCCACCGGAGAAACGGCGGAATCCAGCGAAACCACCCCCAACTCCGGCGGTGAAAATGCAAATGTAATCAGGAAATTCATGGATGAATCGCTTCTGAGATTTGGGCCTGTGTACAGAGTTGATCAGCCATCGGTTGTGGCCACCAAGGAGAAAGCGTGGGAGCACGTGGTCAAAAAGTCGTTGGAGAAGAATGGCGACGAGGAATCCAATGAGGAGCTTGTTCGAGCCGGGGTTCGAGTTTTAGCCGGTGTGGTCGAAAACCGGGAAACGGGAACTGCCGAATCTAGCAGCAATCCACTTTTACGCGGAGGAGCTTCAATCGAAAACTCGACCGACTTCACCACCAACAACAAAAATGTGCTGGAAACCGAATCCGCAAACGAAATCAAGGAAATCTACTCAACGGCAATGAGAAAAGTCGAACGAGAAGCAAGGGAAATGTACGATGGCGACGACGACAAATTATCGGACATCGGGTCTAGTTTCCGGTGGATGATGATCAAAGACGGTTGTTTCTTCCTCCAGTTGGCGTTGTTGATCCTAGGATGTTCCGAGCAGCTCGGGTACCCTGCGAACGATCCGATTTTCGGTAAAAAGCACAACAAGAAGGATGTCAAGAAGTGGATCGAGGCCATGTTCCATGTCGGTAACCAAATCCCGCTAGTAGTTCTCAATGAACTAATGAACCAATCTTTTTTCCAAGATGTAATCAATAAAGCCAATTGGGATTCACCCGACCAGTCGAGTTTGTGTAAAAAGGTCTTGTACGAGGTTCTGGTTTTGCCTGCACTTAAAAGGGATCAAGATCGAGAAGGATCGTCTCTCAAAGAAAGAATTACGCCTTCTTCTGATCTACTCCACAGCCTCCAAAACCACGTGATTGGGCTTGAACAACTCGACCGTATATCCAGCCAGTACGAAGTAGACGATGGTCAAATCGACTTAGAAGCCAATGAAGATGAGGAAGTTTCCGACTACAGAAGGATATTTACGACCGAAACCGACGATAGCAATGGCGAAGGAGCTTCTCTAACCGAGGGTCGTATAAGACTTCTTCTCAACGCGATTGGCTTATCTGGTTCCACCGGTGAGGATCGAAAAAGAATCTTTCCTTGTGCGACAGAGCTGAAGCGAGCAGGGATTGTCATCAAGAAACTCGAGAATGGAGAAGGAGCTAGAAGCATTTGTTTCAACAGTTACCGAAACTATTTATGGCCGTGGGCATATCTATACTTGCCCGTTTTAGCAGTGGACGATAACACAGAGACGATCCTTCGGAACTTGAAGACGTACGAGCTCTCGCAGCATCAATCCGAGAGAAACAGGGGAGAAGTGAGCTCTTACATCAGGGTTATGAGTGATCTAATTCAGACAACAAGTGATGTAAGACTGCTGGAGAAAAACGGAGTCGTGCAAGGAAGTCCGGATGATGATCATGTCGAGAAGTTGCCGAGAATCCTGAGCAGGCTGAGTTCCGAAGATGTACGATTGACGAACGAATTTCGTATTCTGAGGCGCAGGATAAGGGATTATTCAAGCCCATGGATCCATTACAAAGGACTTATTAGCTTGGTTGCTTTTCTTACTGTGCTTCAAACTTTCGTTGCACTGTTAGCCTATTTTAAACCTCCCAGGCCATAAAAACGGTTTTGGATACGCATTGTTTGTTACGTTCCGTTGTCGTGTTATTTTCCTCGTGTTAGCTTAATATGAATTGTTTGTACTATTATCATCGAGTGTTTGATCTTCGTTTTTATACTTCATTACATCATACATATGGTCTCAATTCATCTTCATCGGCTGGCTCCTAGACCGAAAATGTTTCGAGTCAGAAGCATTCTTCTGCTAACATTTTATGAATTTTGCATATAACCACGTGTATGCATGAGTGTGTGATTTGTCGTTTGTGCTTTTACCAAGTGTAGCATATACTATATCGACTTTCACCAATCATGTTATAGTTAAACGTCTATAAATTAATACAGCTGGAACCAGCCAAATGCTATTAATTTAGCGAAAAAAAAAAAAAAAATACTACAGATTACAAAATGGGCACCAAAATCTTATATGTATTATCTCAAAATGGCATAAATAATTAAATATGTAGGCAAAAAGTGCAATATCCAAAATTCGTTTGCTTCAAAAGTTCAATTTTCAGAAACCCTGTCGGGTTTTCGGTCCCTCAAACTTCGACACAATCTACTCACAAAGATTCATGTGAGATCAACTTTCCTGCAGTGCAAAAAGAAAAAAAAAAAAAAAAACTACAGATTACATAATGCATCTTCACTCTCTGATATGACTAGTCTACATCGTTAACTTCAATACTTGTATATATTTTACGTACATGAATAAATCATCGGTGGTTACTCTACTTTTGATTCATTGGAAGAATAGTTCAAAAATGGACGAGGGCATACGGTTTTTTTTTTTCTTTTTTCTTTTTTTTTTTTTCCGAGAAACTGAGAAGATAAAGCATTGCAATCAAACATTCAAAACCCCATTATTTCAAAGTAAAACCCGAAAACCACTTTTTTCCAACTTCAAAAGCACGACTCCATTCCAATGGTGGAATACGAGAAAAAAGAAAAAGTAATAAACATCAACGAACGTGTTTAATCACCATCAACATCAAAAAGGGTCATACATTTTAAATTTAATATTTTGTTCGTAATTCATCCTGACAAAGTAGAGGTTAGCTAACTTACTCTTCAAAGATTTGCGGTCTCGGCATAATTTGCTACCACAACGGCACTCGAAATCGTTATCATTGAAGTCAAACCCGTAGTCCTGCAATGCATTTACCAACTACTTATAACAGCTTCTCCAAAACATATATTATTTGGTAAAAGCATCGCGTATAATTATTATTATACATATACAAAGCATCGTATAAAAGGTAAGCAACTAACCCAAGTTAGCTCTTCCAAAGCATTAACCTTCCTTTTAGTAAAGAAAGCTAGCTGTAAAGAAAAAGAAAAGGAAAAAAGAAAAAGAAAAAGAAAAAAGAAAAAGAAAAAATCCTTAGTGCACATATATATCTTATCACAAGTACATAAACGAAAAAAGGGAATATGAAAAGAGATGGTCCCGATAAAATGTAACAATTTATGTTTCACATACACGGTAGTAGTGATGATCTGGAGTTTCCACTTCGACGGGGATGTCGACCAAGTTAGCATCGAAACACCTAAATAAAAAAGCAGCAAAATTCTACGTCAACTTTTCAATGGTCGAATTTTCTTCACATAATGAGAATACTACATATTCGACGGCTAGAAATCGTGCTACAATCTCACGACTAATCATTGCAATACCCACACAAGAGCTCATTACGTTAAAGCTTTTCGTTCTTTTTGTATGCAATGCTACTATTCAAATGCAGTTTACCTTACTTTTGGTGTTACGGTTTTTCGTATGGGCCAGATAGATTTAAACCATTTCGAGTCTATGAATTTTCTCATACTAATGGATCATGGCCCGTTAAGCACGAAACATATAAACTTCAAAAAAAAATATATGAATTAAGAAAAAAAAAACGAAAGATTAAACAGAAATAGCCATTTGTGGTGGATAGGTACTTCATCTTGAGCTACCATAAACTCGAGGGAAGTAAGACGTAAAGATTACACCAATGCACTAAAAATTACAAAGATTCTTGCTTACGAGACTTCATGCAAACAGCTAAATTCGAAAATTGCATTAAAAAAAAAATCCTCGTATTTAAATCCCGAAATTGACTAATTTACATACCTATGATTAATAAACCTTGCGACATTTCCATAAACCGTAGCATCGAGACAAAGAGCATCTTCATCTTTCAAGATTCCCTTACAACTCCATCCAGCATCTAACAGAACCGAGTACGTTTGCGAGTCGCCGCTATTTTTCTGCACGTCTCGTCCGAACTGCTCTTTGGTAGTGACAACTTCTCCGACGTATTCGCATACAAAACCCCCTTTCGGTATTTCTTCGAGAGTTCTAACACCCCATCCTTTTCGCTCCGCCGTCATAAAAACCTGCCCCGAAAATTTATTCCAACTAAAGAATCGTTACTCAATTTCTTACACATGTTAAAAAAATTCAAATAAAAAAAATTATAATACCTGCAGTTTTGCAGTTATTCCTCGCTGAACAACTCGATTTGCGCACTTATTAAAGCTACAGCCGCATTTGATCGAGCATTCTTTAATGAATTTCCTCGTTATATGGCCGTTGCACGGGACCGATAATTTTGTATCGTTCGGCCTCTCTAACGGGCAGTCTTGACAGTAGAAAAGATTGTGTTTTTGCGCAAAATCGTTTCCTAATACAATGTTATCAACAAAAGATTCCTTCAATACGCCACCTGGCGTATAAGCAAACTCCGAGTTGGATTTTCCAGCACAATTACATGGGATTTGTAGAGACAAACAGTCGCCAAAGCAATTCGAGCAGCAATTTTGTTCTGATATATTAGCGAGAGAAAACCTCACATTTGCATTTTGGTAAATTACATTCTTGGAAATGTAGTTAAATTTAGGACATTGATCCTCATTTACTTCGTTTATCAGAGAAATCTCGTTTGATTCTTGACCGTTAGTTATGTCTGAAGTAAAATGATTTTGGAGAAACATCGTTTTAGTGCTGAGTTCGAAAATACTTCTCTCCGTTTCACTTAAATATATCTTACAACGGCTCAAATCCAAGCCAATGGACCCCACAAATTTCGGAATTTGAATTATCTTGATTGGATCATTTGAAACGGCCGAATTACTGTGAAGACTGAGCTGATTGTCGATTTCGCCAGCTGACACAGTTTCGGTTCTTACATCCTCGTTGTACTTTGAGGTTGTACCGGCGATCAAGAAGGATTCACACACTTCTGTCATTAGTTTCGACATAGAAAAATCGGTTCGAGGGATTTTGTATGACTCTAGGCAATGTTCCTCAACCTGCTCAAACAATGCTGCTAAACTCGGAATGTGAAGCCCCGATTTTAGGGAAGAACTGATTGTAAGAGAGATTTTCACCTCGCCCTTGGACGATGAGGCAATGTCTAGATTCATCGAATCTAGAACCCCGTTTTCGCTTTTCTCCAGTTCGATTTTTTCGTTGTTAGTGGATTCTTCTTGATGATTTTCTTCCATATCGAAACTGTTTTCTACCGAATAAGGCTCTTTAAGAAGCAAACAAGGAGCTGAAAAAGAAAATCAGTTCTGTTTACATTATAAACAATTCTGCCTTTCTTCGAAGGACCAATAAAAAAAAAAAAAAAAATCGGTTCTGTACCGAAAATACATAAGCTTACATATATTCTCTGCGTCAAGATCCATCACTTCAGCAAACAGTGAGATATTTTCTTTCGGAGTCGAAAAACTTTCCTGCGAACTTCCTTGCAATAACAGCACAGGAGAATCTGCGTTCAAACAAAAATTATCAACCACCACAAACGGGATAGAGAATTTTGATTTTCGTTTTTGGTTTTTGGTTTTCGGTTTTCGGTTTTCGGTTTTCAGTTTCGGTTTCGGTTTCGGTTTCGGTTTCGGTTTCGGTTTCGCACTTAATGGACATACAACATAGGAAGCCAAAAGAAAAAAAAAACTCATTCAGAAAACACAAACCATTTCTTTAACATAGATGAAGAGAGAAAAAGATTGATACTTGATTGTTCGTTTAACGTGAAAAAGATTCCGTGATATAAAAAGTGCACCTGGAGTAGAAACCACAGCAAGAGGAATTTCAAAAGCAGCCTCGTCGTGTTCATCATTTACCTTGTCCACTAAAGCAAGATCATTCTCTTTCGATATTTTTTTACGATTACCTTTTTCGTAAACTATCATTCTTTTCTCCGAAATACAATCGAACAATTCATCTCCACTACTTCCCAAGTCTACAAGGGGCACAATCGACTTCGACTCATCTCTCCCATCACCATCATCATCGTCATCATCGGAAATTACTTTACTACCCTTTTCTTGTTTCACTACTATACCCTTCCTTTTTCCATGACAAGAAGTGTCCTTATTACGGTGCTCTTCGAAAAAAGTCGATTTACCCTTTTTCGAGTCGCTTCGTTTAGGTCTTTTAATAAGTGGTTCGTTTTCTTCTTCATCCTCGTCTTCAGACCAAGCATTCATCAGCTGTTCCAACTCACTGTCCTTTGTCTGAACAGAAAAAAATCGAGCGTCGGTTATTATTATAATGCGATTAATAAAAGAAAAAAAAAATCGGAGATTTTACAAAAGCAAGGAAAAGGAAAGACAGCTCAGCTCGCCTTTTTGTCCTCGCTATCTAAAATAGCGTCAACAAGAACTTGATATTCGTCTCCTTCGATGAGAGCCCAGTTATTATCGTACGTACTGAGAAGACTTCTCACTATCGGTCGCACAATCTTTTCCGAAAATCCCATTTTCTTCATTTCTTTCAAGGCCTTTGTGAGTTTCGTCGGCTTTGGCGCCATTTTTCAAGAGCTAAAATTTGGATTTAGTAGAAGCTCGATTGTACCTTCAACGTTCAATAAACAACTGTTTTTTTTAGTAAAATGTAGTAATTAAATTCATTTCGTCGTGCAGGTCTACATCAAGAACCGATAAACGGCAACAAAATAAGAGCAGAGCATTACATTTCGAAATGCTTCGACGGAAAATCGCGGTTACAAATAAATACTATCAAACATAAAAAGATTCCATGGAAATTAAAACCTTCTTTACCAAATTGCAATTTCGACGAACATTTAGAATATATAATTTCACATGCAGCAGTATTCATGTAGAGATTCTACCCGAAGAAAGCTTACAATGTGAAACACTCAAAATAGATGTTAGTAAAATCACAAGATAAATAAATATGAATGTATGAAAACAGAAGTATGAGATTGAAGACAGCTCAGTCTTCCAAACCAATTCACACACACAGATCCACAAAGGTATCCACTGTTACACACACACACACAGTCTAGGATTGCACCATACTCAGAACCAATCCTCTCTCTGCACTCAAACCCCTTAAACCACCCAGATTATCAGTAAGACCACGAAGAAGATGCACTCAGCTTCTTACCCACTCACCACAGACCCAACTCACAGAAGAAGAAGGCAAGGTGTTTGAATTTAGGGTTTCAATCTAGGTCTTACCCTCTGCCACACATCTCTCCGCATTAAATAGGGACTCCAGTCAAAAGGAGCCGTTGAAGAGACAACCACTGGGACAAGCACGGCCAAGGACGGCGGCGAATGGCCCATGGTTGCTGGAGCAAAAGAAGAAAGAAGCAGAGGGGGACCAAAGGAGAGAGCAGATGTTGTCTAGGGCACAAAACGGGAAAGGGGGTACAGAGAGAGGAAGGGTCAGCTATAATGAACGGCTGAGATCACACCAGAACCAACGGTTCAGATCTAAGCCTTCTAGCACATTCCCACTAATGGGCTGGAATTAGTCTGGATGGGCCTTTCCGAATAGACAAGTGTGTGTGTGGTGGAAATTGGGCTATAGGCCCAAGACACATTTGGGCCACAACCACAACAAATCTCCACCTTGGACCAAAGTGTATCATTAGTGAATTTTATGGTTTATTGGAAGTCATCATTGCTGTTTTTGATATACAGGTAAAACACAAAGTAGTACAAGTATATCTTTCTGATTTTCACATAGAAGGTCAGAAGGAGATGTCACATAGACAAAACATGTAGCAGTTCACAAAGAAAAGACATGAACACAATCAGTCACAAAGACAACACATAGTCAGTCACAAAGACTGTAACAAATAAGAAATAGCACACAGCATTTTAATCTTGGGAAATTAGGTTCAAGTTTTTCAAACAAGAACGAAATTTCTCAACTGGTAAGCACTTAGTACCCATATCAGCAGGGTTGAACTCTGAGGGAATTTTTTCAAGGTCAATAATCCCTTCTTCCACAATACTTCTAATAAAGTGAAATTTAATCTCAATATGCTTAGTTCTATCATGGAAGACAGGGTTTTTGCACAATTGTATACCAGACTGACTGTCAGAAAACACTACCACTTTGTTCCTGTAAAAACCAATTTCAATCAGCAAGCCTTTAAGCCAGATAGCTTCTTTGAAAGCCTCAGTTGTGGCAACATATTCTGCCTCAGTAGTAGACAGAGCCACAATGCTTTGAAGCTGAGATTTCCAGCTTACACAGGAACCATTCAAAGTAAACACATAAGAAGTAGATGATTTTCTGCTATCTCTACAATTTGCAAAATTAGAGTCCACATACCCACAGAGTTCACTCTCAGTTTTACACTTAGAAAACAGCAAACCAAGTTTAACAGAACCTTTCAAATACCTAAGCAACCACTTAAGAGCCTCCCAATGAGGCAAACCTGGATTAGACATATACCTACTCAAATAACTCACAGAGTAAGCAATATCTGGTCTTGTGCTGACCATTAAGTACATAACAGACCCTATAGCATTTGCATAAGGCACATTTTTCATCTCAGACATTTCAGGTTCAGTCTTGGGAGACTGTTCCCTACTTAACACAAAATGGGCAGCAAGAGGAACAGATACAGGTTTTGCAGATTGCATAGAAAATTTCTCAAGGATTTTTTCAGTGTAAGAAGATTGATTAAGAAACAATGAACAGCCTTTTCTATCTCTGATTATGTCCATGCCAAGTATTCTTTTAGCATTTCCAAGCAATTTCATGTCAAATTCATCACTAAGACACTTAATGACATAATTGATTGTTTTAATACAAGGGCTGGTCAGAAGCATATCATCCACATAAAGGAGCAAGAAGACAGGAATTTTGGCAGAGTGTTTGAAATACAAGCATGGGTCATATGAACTTCTCAAAAAATTTAAGGATTTCATGCATGCATCAAATCTTTTATTCCACTGTCTAGGGGACTGCTTAAGACCATACAAAGATTTTTTCAATAAACACACATAATCAGGATGTTTCACATCAAGAAAACCTTCAGGCTGTTTCATGTATATTTGCTTATCTAATTCACCATGGAGAAATGCAGTTTTCACATCCATTTGTTTTAACTCCCAATCAAATTGAGCAATTAAGGCAAGCATAATTCTCACAGTAGTAAATTTCACAACAGGAGCAAATATCTCAGTATAATCAATTCCTTCTCTTTGGGTTAACCCCTTAGCCACTAGCCTAGCCTTATATCTAAGTGAATCAGATTCATGTTTAACTTTAAACAGCCATTTGCAGTCAACTAATGAACATTCAGCTGGTTTTGGCACAAGAGTCCAAGTATGGTTAACATGCAAAGATTCAATTTCTTCATTCATAGCATTTAACCAAGACACAGATTCATTAGATTTAAGGGCTTCCCTATAAGACTTAGGTTCTTTACCATCCAGAGACTCAAAGACATGAAACACATAAGATGCAAGCTGATAATCATCTAAATGATGAGGCCTAATGATGTTTCTTCTACTTCTGTCCCTAGCAAGTTGGTAATCACCAAGATTTTCCACATCAGGCACATTAGTATCAACATTTTGATCAAACACATCATTTTCAGGCACATTATTATCAGTTTCACTATCAGAATCAGATATAGTTTCATGTTGAGCAGGTATAACAGGGGAAGTCTCCACCTCAGCAGAGGTAGACTCAGAAGAAATAACAGACAAACAAGGAAACTCATTCTCATTGAATATCACATTTCTACTTATAACAGTTTTAAACCCCTGTTCCCCCTTAAGTCAGCACCTATAACCCTTAACCCCCTCTGGATAACCCAAGAAAACACATTTAACAGACCTGGGATCAAGTTTATCATGTTTCTGGTGCACAAAAGCAGAGCAACCAAATACTCTAAGATTAGACAAACTAACAGGAATACCAGACCACTTAGTTTCAGGTAATTCACCACATAGAGGCACAGAAGGTGATCTATTGATCACATATGCAGCAGTTAAAATAGCTTCACCCCAGAACATTTTAGACAAGCCAGATGAATTTAACATGGACCTAACTCTATCAAGTAATGTCCTATTCATCCTCTCAGCAACACCATTTTGCTGAGGGGTGTAAGCTACAGTTTTATGCCTCTTTATGCCAGATTCAACACACATATCATCAAATTCAGCATTACAAAACTCAGTTCCATTGTCAGTTCTCAAGGTTTTAATTTTCTTCCCAGTTTGATTTTCAATTAAAACTTTCCATGCTTTAAATCTTTGAAACACATCAGATTTATTTTTCAGCAAGAAAACAAACACTTTTCTGGAAAAATCATCAACCACAGAGAGAAAGTATCTATTACCACCATGACTAGGAACAGGGGCAGGGCCCCACACATCAGCATGTATATATTCAAGGATATCAGTGCATTTTGAAGAGTTAGGGAAAGGAGACACAGGAAATTGGACCTTAGTCTGTTTTCCTAAAATGCATGAGTCACATATGGGCAGATCAGACACACAGTCATTGTCAAGATAATTGTTTTTATGCAAAAGCTCAAGCCCTTTAGCACTTATGTGACCTAACCTCCTATGCCAAAGACTAGAATGATCATGTTTAACAGAATTAGCATGCAACAAGGGTTCAGCAGAACACACATACAAATTTTGCATTCTAACAGCTTTAAACACAAATTGATCACCTTTCATAATATTTTGGCAACCATTTCCCCAACTACCATGCAGACCACTATCCTCAAGAACAGCCACAGAAAGCAAATTACTACTCAGATTAGGAACATGTCTCACATTTTTAAGCATAAGTTCAAAACCAGATTCAAACTTAAGGATAATAGTTCCTAAACCAACCACATTTACACCACTGCTATCAGCCATAGACACATTGCCATTTTTTAGTTCCACATAGGATGTAAATAGGTGTCTATTAGGTGTCATGTGGTGTGTGCATGCAGAATCAAAGATCCAATCATTATCACATAGAGATGAAATCACAGAGTTCACACAGTCATGCACAGACTCACCAATCATGAAAACATCACCCAGATTGTCAACAACAACATTAGCCTGTTCATTATTCTTATCCTTTTTAGGTTCAGTACATTCATTTGCATAATGACCAGGTTTACCACAGTTATAACATTTTCTGCCTTTGATCTTGTTCTTACTCCACTCTTTGCCCTTTTTAGGTTTTTGAAAAGACTGATTTTGGTTGTTATTACTGGAAGAGGCCTTGTGTTGAAACTTGAATTTAGGCTTTCCTTTCACAAAGTTAACATCACCAAAAGATTTGTGACCCTTATTGGTTCTTAAATCCAGTTCTTTGCTTTTCAAACCATTTATGACAGTGTCAAGAGTAACCTGATCTCTACCATACTTAATAGCAGATTTTACATCACTATAAGTGTCAGGAATTGCATTTAAAAGCACAATAGGAGTATAATCATCAATGTTTTTATCTCCAGTTAATTTAATGTCCTGAACTAGCTTTGTAAAAATATCCAGATTCTCATCTATATCTTTACTCAAATCCAGTTTAAATCTGAAAAACTTTTCAAGTAAAAACATTTTTGAGGGCAAAGAGGTTTCAGTGTACAGATCTTGCAGTTTTTCCCATAAAGCTTTA